CCTCCTCACTCCTCCTCACTCCTGCCCTCTCCTCCTCACTCCTCCTCACTCCTCCCCACTCCTCCTCACTCCTCCCCACTCCTCCTCACCCCTCCTCACCCCTCCTTACTCCTCCTTACTCCTCCTCACTCCTCCTCAGCCCTCCCCACTCCCTCTTCTCACTCTTCCTCACCTCCCCACTCCATCCTCACCCCTCCTTACTCCTCCTGACTCCTCCCCACTCCTCCCCACTCCTCCCCACTCCTCTCCACTCCTCCCCACTCTTCCCAGTTCCTCCTCACTTCCTCATCTCCTCCTTTGTTATTTAGTCTTTAAACTTTCTTGTTTTTGTTTTTCTATTTTCTTTTCCTCACCTATTTCTCTCTTTTTGTTGTTGTTGCTCCTCATGTCCTTGTGTCTGGACCTTCTCTTGGTAGTTTTTCTTTTCCATTTCCCATCCACTTATATCTACCAGTCCCTTGGAGGTTGATTGGTTTTCCTTTTGAATGGTTCTGTTGGTATCCCTTGTTGGATCTTGAGAGAGATTTTAGAACATGCACACACTGTGTCTTTTTCATCCCATATCTTGGTTAGACCTAGGATATGCAGATGTCTTGAAAGACAATGTCACAGAATTTGTGCATCAAGTTCCTGGGTAATAAATCTATCAGTGTAGTATATGTGTTATGCATAAAAACACTTTTGTTATCCTTGTCTTCAATGTGATATATAACATTATGTGCCACATATATTTATACATATCCTATTGATTCACTCAGTTTTTTTTTTTAGACCAGTACTCTTTTGTTTCTCTTCTGCTATCTTGGTGTTCTGCACTCTGTTGGTTTGACACATGTATAATGTCAGGGACCCACCAACACAGGATGCCCTAAAGGGGCTCCGGTGCCTTAAAAATTCACATGCTCCTCTGCTCTTCGTTTTCCCACACCCACTCTGGTCCTCTGGCCACCACTGATGTTTTTACTGTCTCTGCAACTGAAACCACCAAAACACATTTCAGAACACTTAATGAACAAAGAGGAGAATTGCATGTCATCACAGAATTTCAAAGAGACTGCCATGTTAGATCTCTGTCAGAAGTTTCCAAGCTTCCACTCAGTGGCACCCGGCCCTGAGTGCCCCCGTACCCCCTTCCCCCAGAAAAAAAGAAGTAGGATTGGGAAGTTTGAAACTACATTGAAAGATTATTAGCAAACTTTCTTCTGTCTACACATTGGGGAATTCTCCATTGGGTTGACCCATTAGCCAGTTTTCTAATGGACAAATAATTGTTAGGAAGTCAGCTAGAATTGCATAATGCAAAACTTGCCAAGCTCCCATTGAGGCAATAGGAATTAAAACATTGAATGAAACTGATCCTCTCCTGAGAGAAAATGGCTCTGGAGGCTGAGGCAGGGACAACTAAGTTGCCAGCTTCAGCAACTTAGTGAGGCAACTTAGCCAGACCCTAGCTCAAAATAAAAAATAAAAAAATTTAAAGGGCTAAAGATGTGGCTCAGTGGTTAATCTCCCTTGGGTTCAATCCCTGTACCAAAAAAAGAAATTGACTTATTTTATCAAAGTTTATCACAAAATCTATTGTTTATGTTGAGAGGTTATAGAGATTTCACTTTTTTTTTTTTTGAATGACCACATAGAGAAGATGTCCCTACAGTTTCCTAGCTCAGAATTAGTCTTTAGAATAATAAAGAAAATCTTAGGATTTCTCATCACTGAGCTCTCTGGAAACCTCACTTGGCTAGATAGCAAGATGTAAGCCTTATTTATTCCCATAACTGAAATGAGTGGCATAAACTTAATATTAGGTAGTAATTAAAATTGTTATTTATCTAAAAAGCTAATTGAAGCAATATTATCCTCAAATCACGAATTGGATTATTTTTGGGATTTGATTAATTCGGCCAACAAATATCGGTAGCGAGTATGTGTAAGTCACTAAACTACCTAGTCACTATGGGACACAGTAGGGGCTAAGACAAGAAGTGGCTGTACCTTCACCAGCCAACCTTCTAATGAGGGGAAAGTTCCCAAGCAACCACTAGGAATTAGGCTGATGAGAGGGACAGGCAGGGGAGAGTTGGGGTAGGATGGTTGGAAAGGCCTCTCCTAGAGACCTAAGGAATGAATGCAGCCAGCCCCTCCTGGGAAGGTCAGAAGGTGCATGGGTCGGGGCCTTGAGGAAGAGGGAGCTGCATCTGCCAGAACCCAGACCCATGGGTGAGGCCGTGAGGGCAGTCAGAGGCACTGGAGACTGGTGGGGAGTGGGGAAGAGATAGCAGAGGCCAAGTCAGCTGGGCACTGGAGGCTGAGGCAGGAGTTTAGAGTTTTTCATGGTTCAGTGAGAAGGGTTTTAAAGCAAGGGGTGACACGGTATGATCTAAACTTTAACTATTATTCTATCATAAATAACAAGAGATGGATGAGGTACCAAGAGTGGAGAAAGAGTAGCAGGGAAGTCAGGGGCACAGAGAGAAGTGATCGGGTCCAAGAGAGAAGCCGGAGGGAGAGCTGCTGAGTCTTGGCAAAGACAGGGTCCAGGCAGTGAGGAGAAGAAATGTCAGCCTGACAACATGGATGGGAATTGAATTTTCTGATAAGAAATTCTGAGGTACCACTAGGCCTCAGCACTCCACCTTTCCTAAGGATAGCTGGATAATCATTATTCTAAAAGGAACACGCAGCCCACACAGGCACATGCATACCATTCGTGGCTCTGGGAAGTACCATAGTCCACAAAGCTCATCCTGGATGTCCTTCCTGCCCCTCTGATTACAGTTCCTCTATTCTAGGCCCAGGTCTCAAGCTCACCAGATTGCTCAGGATTTATAACCATGGCCTCAAAATCAGAAAGTTGGCCTGGTGTGTTGGCTCACACCTGTAATTTCAGTGACTCAGGAGGCTGAGGCGGGAGGGTTGCAAGTTCCAGGCCAACCTGGGCAACTTAGTGATATCCTGTCTCAGAATAAATATAGAAAGGCTGGGACTGTGACTCAAAGGTAGTGTGCCTCTGGGTTCAATCCTCAATACCACAATAATTTTTTTAAATAAAAATTTAAAAAGTAAAGCAGAACAAAACCCAGGAAGTTACTGGGGTTCATATTAAGGTTTTGCCTCACCTGTGAGCCAACCATCCTCTTAGAAAAAGCAGCTAGCAGCGTCTTCCTCATCTGGGTCCATGGAGTCTCCCTTCCTCCAAACCTGAGCACCTAAGTAGATAAGGGTCAAGCATGCAGCTCTCTCCTCTGGAGGCAAGCTCCAGCATGGGGCTTGGGGCCTGGGCCCTGCCATACTACACAAAGGGCTGGGAAGGTCTTGGGAGAAACCAGCCTAGCCAGCTGGACTCAGATCAGACAGGCATGCATCCTTCAGTGGTGGGAGTTGGGCACTGAGCTCAAGAAGGGCACTTTGGGAAATCTGTGTTTGGAGAGCTTTCATATATGGTGATAGGGTTGCTGCTGTCTGTTGTGTGAGTGCATCTCATGTTAGGCACCCATGGCTTCAGTGCCACTGTCGAATGGGCAGAGTCCACCACTACTGCTTTCCCTCCACCCTGTGAACAGCAGTCTGGTGGCCACACACATAGGGTCCCACATCTGGCCCTCTGTGCCCATTGTGCCTCCTTAAGGCTGCTGGGTGTACATGAAGGAGTTCCAGGGACCATCCTACAGCTCTGTCCCCTATCCTGATTCTGGACCTGACATGTATCAGATACTTGACCCAAGTGCGTTGAATGAATACACCGAAACCAGGCTATTGCAGCACTCTCAGGAATGACTTAGCCTTGAGCTGAGAGGTGGCACTGGAGATGAAGAAAAGGAGATGTTTTAAATACAATTTTTAATTCATAAAGTAGAAGGGATAGTAGTTGCTAATGAATTAAGAAATGACTGAATTCCCATATTGAACTGTTTAGTTCACGTTAATAGTGTATTTCTGGGCTGGGGATGTGGCTCAAGCGGTAGCGCGCTCGCCTGGCATGCGTGCGGCCCGGGTTCGATCCTCAGCACCACATACCAACAAAGATGTTGTGTCCACTGAGAACTAAAAAATAAAAAAAATATATTAAAAA